AGGACCCATGGACAGGTCACTTGGTGCTGAATACACCATAGATGGGTGCCGAGTACTGTAGGCATCAATGTGTTGTCTACCAAGGTGCTGGGTACTGTTGGGATGCTGCCAAATTGGTGTGGCCATACTGAATGAATGGTGTGAGCATAACTTGACGTGACTTAAACATGGCTGAAGAGGATCCTGGGAGCAGGGTCCCCTTCAAGCAGAAGATTTGATAAATTTAGGCAAAAGTCTCTAGCTTTCTGAGTTGACTTGGAAAAAAACAGCAGATGGAGCAATGGTCAGGGATACACCCCCTGCCTAAACAACAACAAAAAGGCACTTAAGAATACCCATCATTGAGTGGCATAGAAGCATCACACGAGGGGAATGTCTTATATCCCAGAGATTTAGCTTCCACTCAAGTCCCAGAAGCAGGAGCGGAGGGGCAGAGCTCCAAATCTACTAATTATCTATTAAAAATGAATATTTTCCTTTTTAAAGCCAAGAAGCAAACTAAAAATTAACTACCTACCTGCAACTCTACTAACTAATCATGAACACTAACTGCAATAGAGTTATAGAGAAGCAGGCAGACACTGCAAAGAGTTCCAAATTGCTGCCACAGTTGGTAAGAAGGAACTGAGGATGGCTGGGCCCACTCTGCCCTTTATGCACTCAGGCTGTGGTGTGAGGGGGGCATGAGGGATCTGGCATGCAGGTGTGGCCCCAATGGATGCTGCTGGCCAAAAATAATCCAATGCTGCAAGCACTGCGCACATGCACCCCAAGAGACGAATGCATGAGGACAATCACTTGAAGAAGAACAAATAGTTATGATGAATGAGGAGAAATACTTTTTTATGTTTGTTTTAAAGATTAGATTAGTGACTTGTGTTTAAATTCAGGTCTACACTAGACAGCTATGCCAGCAAACATTCCTATGATAGATGCAGTTTATACTGGCAAAAAAGTACTTTTGTCAGTATAGCTTATCCTGGTTCCTTGAGAAAAATAAGCTATACAAATAAAAGCATTTTTATGCTGGTATAACTGCACCTATACTAGGATTTTTGCCAGTATAGGAATGTTGTAAAATAATATAATCAATATCACACCCATAACATGTTATCATACTGGCAAAAGTTTCTAATATAGACCCAGCTGAAGAGATTCTCAGCCTGTGAGAGAGAAAAACGGTGCTTTTTCAACTGCAATTATTATTTTTACCTAGAGGAATAGAAAGAGATGAGACCAGGACAAATTTCTTAATGGGCCCATTTTTAATTAGTTTAACTCAAACTAATGGACAGATTTATTTTAAAATTCTCAGAAAACTTGGTCTTTTGTCACAGATTATGTGCTGTCAACTAGGGGAACATACACTGTATTCATCATACAAAACAAAGAGGTTGAATCTCTACTTTAAGTGAAAAACTTAACACAGCCTTAACTATGGTGTCTCGCCCAGTACCTGGTCCCAATCACCACCCCAGGAATCCAAAGAAAAGACTGTAGAAGTGAGAAGAAGTGCAGAAGGAGAGCAAGGGGTATAGATCCATAGAGTCAATTATCTCAAAGAACTACAGCTAATGCATTTGTTTCTCTTTCAAGTGCAGCCTATACAGATCAACACTCCTGGGAGATAAGCAAGCAGTAAACTCACATTCCACAATTATTCAATTAATACTTCCATGACTGCTCTCCCAAAATACGCAGCAAATCTACAGGTTAAAGGCATGTGTTGGACTCCTAAAAGCAGCGCTATTTATGTCAGTTATGGAAATATTACAGAGACATACAGCTGAAGCTACTTCGGACCTAGTAGAATATCAAGAGGTTGTCAGTTACTGTAACCTCTGTCAGGTATCAAACATGCATGAATAATGTAATGCTTTTGGATAGTCTTTTCAGCCAGGTAGAATGGATCTCTCTGAGAAGGCCCTGTGATGTTACTGACATGAACTGTGACCATATAGATCATTGTTGCAACCAGGGTCCTATGGTTCACCAGGTCTTGTACAGAGGGCGTGTCTATGGAAAAGTTGTAGTTTGCTGGTTATGATTATACTGTCTGTATGTGTGTATCATTTTTGTATTTGAAGTTATGAATATTGGCTATGTACTTGTATCTCAATGTGTTTGATTCCAAGTAGCCTCAGTGAAGCATTTGGTCGGCTTCTTGAGAAAGGACTATTCTCAGTAAGTGCCCAATCAAGAAACACTTAACTGACAATGGACTCTGGGAAACCCCAATCCACATCTGAGCATTCCTGGGAACATTCAAACTAACATGTAAACAATGGTGTCGGCCTGCAAAAAGCTGAATCATTCATGGACACGTGACTTGCCCAGGTGGTTACAAACTCCATCTTGTTGCTGTGACTTTGCACAGAAGAACAAAGGGGTTTCCGCCCACAAGAGAGAGAATATAAAGGGCCCTGGAAGCCCCTCCATTTTGTCTTCAGCTGGCTGAAGAGATGGCCTCTCCACCCCAAAGAGATGCTTGAAAAAAACTGGAACAAAGGACAGTAACTACGGGGGTGTGAGTGATTGCTGGACCCAGACTAGGAAGGAGTCCTGTCTGCGAAAGAAGCTTATTGGAACATCTGTGGGGGTGAGATTTCATCTGTAATCAGTTTCTTAATGTATTAGGCTTAGACTTGCGCGTTTTGTTTTATTTTACTTACTTTTGTAACTTACTTTGTTCTGCCTGTTATTACTTGGAACCACTTAAATTCTACTTTTTATATTTAATAAAATCACTTTTGCTTATGAATTAACCCAGAGTAAGTAATTAATACCTGGGGAAGCAAACAGCTGTGCATAGCTCTCTATCAGTGTTATAGAGGGTGGACAATTTATGAGTTTACCCTGTATAATCTTTATACAGAGTAAAACGGATTTATATGGGGTTTGGATCCCATTGGCAGTTGGATGTCTGGGTACTGGAGACAGGAGCACTTCTTAAGCTGTTTTCAGTTAAGTCTGCAGTTTTGGGGCACGTGGTTCAGACCCTGGGTCTGTGCTGGAGCAGACTGGTGTATCTGGCTCAACAAGGCAGGGTTCTGGAGGCCCAAACTGGCAGAGAAAATGGGTTCAGAGGTAGTCTCAATGCATCAGATGACAGGTCCAAGGGGGTTTCAGTGCTCAAACCTGTCAGAGGCCCCTTCTGGAATTTCATGGGAGATCAATCTTTTGCCATAAGGCTAAACTGGCCATTCAGATGAACAAGGCCAGAAGATCAGTTTCCACTAATGCAGAGATGTTCCAGAGAACCGTAAGCTATGAGATGGGGGAGGAGGGATAGCTCAGTGGTTTGAGCATTGGCCTGCTAAACCCAGGGTTGTGAGTTCAATCCTTGAGTGGGCCATTTAGGGATCTGGGGCAAAAATTGGGGATTAGTCCTGCTTTGAGTAGGGGATTGGACTAGATGACCTCCTGAGGTCCCTTCCAATCCTGATATTCTATGTTTCAAGAGCCAAGCAGAACCCAGAAAAGAGTCATCAAAGGAATAAGCACAGGTCCAGGAAAAAAAGGATGAACAGATCCAGAGCCCGTGAAAGTGGAACAGTCTAGGGCCACCAAGGGACCTTATTTCAGAGCTCATGTGCCATAGGGGATTGTGCAACAAGAAAAATGTTGACCCCTAACTTACTCCAGTAAATGTCTTGACATGGAAGGCTCACTGCAATGGCAAATGGAGATAAGATGCAATGAGCCTCCTTGGCACTGAATATCACAGATTCCTGCACAGCACAAGAAGTGTAAGGGCTTGAATACACAGATCTCAGTACCAAAGGACACAAAGTTGGGACATCACCCACACCAGTTTCCTTCCACATTTAGGAACTACTGAATACACAGCCAGCTTTGGCACTCTGCTTCCTCACCTTCCCCAATGCCAAGTGAGACTAGTGAAGGTCAAGTCAGAGTCATAACTCCTGTACTTTTTCTCTCTCCCACTGTTCAGAAGACAAAGTCTAGGCACCAGAAAGTCATTCTGTTCAACCTCTGGGCCTTCTTAGTAGAGCTCAATGCAGAGAAAACCTTAGCTCCAACTTTTTATAATCTGGTTTTGATAGAAATAGTCAAGGGATTTCTCTACACCAATTTTACAAAGCATGGGTGCTTACTTAAGGCAAATATAGCTATGATGTTAAGGTGCCTTTCAATGTGAATGCAGTCAGACACTCAGCACCACACTTACTCAAGTTGGCCTTAAATTCTTCAACAGTAAGAATTTAAGGCAGCACTCCCATCTCTAGACCTTTGGGGAATGGTATTGAAAAAGACATGAAGCTTCTGCCTATATTGTGCCTCACACTAAGGCATTTCAGCCATCAGACATGAACATCAATGTCTGACATTATGAAATTGCATAACACATTAGGCATACGGCCAATCTTCTTGGTGGTGGCTAAGACAATAGAATCTACAGAATCAACTGTACCGTCAGAAGAAACTGTTTAGTGGGGCTGGACCAAAATAAAACTACCATGGCAGAGAGTGAATGTGTGTTTGTGGGGGGGAATGCCCAATGATGCCCACAATGGCACATAAAAGGTTTTTGTTTTTACTAATACTAAAAATACTAATAAGGTGGGAAAATGATGGAAAAATGTGTACAAGATACTGTTAAGTCCTTGTTTGTAGGGAATCAGAAGGAACTGAGGGGTGGTTGCAGTCCTTTATATTCTCTTGGTCTTGAGGAAGATGCATGTATTGCCCCAATATATACTGTTGGCTAGAAGATTTCAAGCTTCCCTACTTGTGGCATGCAACTCTCAAGAATGGGGATCCATGTGGCAATACTTGAAGGGCAAAATTTTGTTAACTATAATTTAAATATGCCTATTCATCTAAAAATGGTAGATTTCAGTCCTTCTGAACCAATTAATTTAATCAAATACATAATTGCTATAATCATCTAGAAAAGAGATATCTTCAGGGATCCCCTTATTTCTGAAGTTGCTGTCTTATACCCAAATTATGTATTCAAATGTAATATACTTAACCAATAACCAGTTGGTGAATAGTGCTCCCTCGAGATACTTCCGATAGTGTCTGATTTAACCCAGATACTATAACAAATCCATTAATTGTGTTGTTTTTATAGCTATAATAGATCTTTTCCTTGTTCCACATCAGCATAGATGGTGATGCTGAATATACAAATTCCATTTGCATAAAACCCTGGGGAGGAGCATTTAAGGAAAAGTCTCTCAGGACCCACAAATCTCGGTCTTCGTTATAAGCTGACAGATAAAACACCCTGGAGGAGCTGCACCCAACGCAGGCCATCAGCAACGAAACTTCAGATGGGCGTGAGTCATAGCAAACAGTGCCTATAGATAAAGAAGCGGCCATTGGCAAATCTAGGACCCTCTTTAGCTTTGTTGTATCTGTTATTTTAATAAACACATTGCCATCATATCCTAGATATTGTTCACTTGGTGTCCATATTGCTACTGTACTTAATTTTCTTCCACTCTGTAAAAAAATAAAAATTGAACAAAGCTATTAGATAAATAGTACATTTAAGACACTGTACAAACTATTCCCTCTCAAACTTTGCATAAATGATTCCAGTATCTCCATTAAAAAGTAAAAAAGATTTTCAGCTGATGTAATTAGCCTAGCTACACTAGAGTCAAGTTGCTGTTATGGATTGGGAAGTAGGTGGTCTGGCCTAGTAGAGAGAGGGAGGGAGGGAGCGGGCGGGAGAGAGAGAGAGAAGGGGGCGGCCAGGGCTACAGCAGGGGCGCTGCCATGCGGCCCCTCCCGCTGCACCGCCTCCAGTCACCTGCCGCGAGGGCTCCACTCTGGTCGGCGGGGAGGGAAGGAAGAGGACTGCCCTGCAGGGTGCTCTGGTTCTCCGCGCCGCCACCCCCTACAGGGCAGCCGGAGCGGAACAAGAACAAAACAAAAAAAAAGTGGCCGTGCCGCCCTAGGATTGGGCAGAATGCCGCCTCCAACAATCTGCCGCCCCAAGCACCAGCTTGCTCAGCTGGTGCCTGGAGCCAGCCCTGGTTAGAGGCTGGGGTCAGAGCCAAAAGTGGTAACTGACGATTGGAGGTAAGACATAAGGGCAGGAACTAGAGGAGAGGCAAGGATCAAGCACAGTGCAGGAGCATGGTGTAAACAGGAGCAAAAGCAGGGGTCAGGTAGTAGCCAGTAGAGCAGGAAAAGGGATGGGTGCCAGAGGCAGGCACAAGCAAGGTCCAAAGCAGCCACAACAGGGAATCACTTTGTTGCTCAGACAAACTTCCTGTGCCTCCTTCTGGCTTAAATAGCATGGTTGGACCAATTGGTGGAGCTGGGTGATCCCCCAATATTAGTGTCTTGGGTGAGGCTATAGTCCTACTAGCTTCTTGGGCCATCAGATTTCAGAAGACATTAGGTGGAGACCAGCAGGCAGCTGCTGTCTGGGACTCCTAGGCCTGGGTTCATAGACCTGGGACATCATATTCACAAACTTAAGTCCTCATCCTGGAACTAGCTCCATGTGAGTACTCCTCTGGACCCATGTAGAGCCAACTGTAGCATCAGGTACTTATTTTTAAATGACCTGAAAATTAATTTGTTGCACTCAGTGCACTTCTAATTCCAAACCTATTATTATATCAGGGGACCAGTGGGTTAATCCCCAGGCCTAGTGAAGCACTTTCATATTTCAAAATGTAAAACAAGAATTGTGTGTGACTTACCTGTACTGGATATTCAGATGAACACCAAAGTCTTGACTGTATTCCAGTTATTCCCGTTTCTGGTAGATTGTATTCAGGTCCAAGTTTAAAAAACCGATTGGACTCTCTTTTGTAAACTGTCCCCATTATTAAAAATAAGATTCCATCATCAGTTAAAACAATATCAGTTACGTTGTGACTTAAGTCAAAGTCCAAAATGTGTGATGGAGCTTTGATTTCTTTATAAGTTATAAATCCATCATTTGTATGGAAAGTTCCAAATTCTGACAACAAAAGTGCAGTTGTTGGAAAACATGCAGACCACTCAATGTAGGGCTCACTACCAGCTGGGGAACAGAGGGAATTGTCACTTACATTGTTAGGAAATGGCTCTTCAGGCCTGGAAATGATAAAGGGACTATCTAGAACAAAACAATCCTGAAAAGCTATTGCCTTTCCATGGATATTAGTTATGATGTCATCCAACATTGCAGGTACATTAATTTTCCAGAATCTGAAAATGGAAGAAATGACAGATAAACTGGCAAGAATTAAACTTTATATCAGATTCATTAAGAAAAATAATTCCTGACAAATTTCAGAGTTTGTAGCAACTCCAAAACAATTTATTTCCCATTTCTTTTTAACAATTTCTCTAAACCTTTAACATTTTTCAAGTCACAATATTCTCAGGCACACCCTACAGTCACAGTGTTCAGCACATATGCCAGCAGCTATTAGAGTAGTGGTACTATTGTTGCTATACACAAGCTGTGCATTCCTGATCACAACCATTTCTATTTGTAGGGACATACCACTTTTCCAAATTGTTTCCTGCTATTCCCCCATTCTCACCAAATGTAAAATATAAAATTAAAATAAAATTGGGGGTGGGGGGAGGGAGAGAGACCAAAATCTGCCTTCAGTGGGACTTTAACCTGCAACGGCAGCCAGGCCTCTAATGTTCAGTGCTTCAGTAAATGCTGGGAATCACACATCTCTGAATGGTCTCACATAAACAGGCAAGAAATGTATATTCTCTGGAGCTGGGAGCACGAGGACTGGTTATGACATCATGGATTATTGTGGCAACAGCAGATAGAGCCATTATTACAGTCACTTTTGCCATGACAATAAAAACTGCATTACTTTACAAAATGAGTTTCCTAACTTTAGGTGACACTGATGACACTAGTGGATGAAAAATGTATGTTAATAACATGTTAATAATCAGGATATGAATTATTTGGTCACAAATTCACTTGGTTCAATGTTTAGCTAGTGGTAGAGGTATCCAAACTTCCAGAATTCTATAAAAATAGGGCTGTTTTAATAACGGAGGTGAGATAGTTGAATATGAGAAAAAACAGCCACATTTTGTCTTTAGATATACACATGCAACTGCTATTGATTTCAATGCAAATTGGATGCATGTATTCAAAGGCCAAATTTGGTCCATACAGAAGAAGAATGAAGTAATAAAACTTTCTATGTGAGCATGCATCAGCATTACTGGAGAAACAAACCCTATTACTCTATATGACGAGCGATCTTGTTTTTCCACTCTCTTTTATTTGGTTCTTCATACTACTACCATATAGAGAAAGAAGAGGTTAAAAATAAGACAGAAAATAGATATTACAACTCACTTCACCATAACAGCAATTTACTAAAACTGCCATCATTTATAAAAGGATTTTACCCAATTTGCCAAAAATGCTTCTATTCCTTTGGTTAAGTAAGTGCAAATATTAGAGAAAGCCTTTATCTGACGATAAATTTTTTTGATATAATGATGTGTTGCTATATTGCCACCTAGTGATGAAATGGATGAGATCCAATTGAAAAAGATGTTTCACAGAGATGACAGTAGGCCAAATTCAGTTTCTAACCCAAATGTAACAGGGATGTAAACAGTGGTGTAAGTTACTTGTTGAGTGTAAACTGGTTAGAAAAAGGCAGTAAAATGAAAATTAGTGCAACTTGTTTTAATATGGTATTCAGAGTGTGTAAAAACAACTGCAAATTAAAAGTCAAAGGGACAGATGGGGCGCATGTTTCAGGAATGCAGCTAGCAAAAGAGCCCGCTACACTTTAAGACAGAATCATCCGTCAATACTCCTGGGGCCAAATCTAGCCCTGTGGTAAGCCTGTGTAATTCCCACTAACTTCAATGAGCATTTGTGCAGGGCAGAATGTTGTTACCGCAGAGTACCACATTGATGGAAAACACACTTGCTTTGCACATCCACTGAATAAAAAAATCAGTGCAAGTTATTCTCCTTCACCACATATCTATTTTCTGATCAGCTCACACCAACGTATACATTATAATATCATTTACATCCCTGTTGAATTTGGCCCTTAGTGTTTCTGTTATATATTACATAGTTTTGTAAATATTATAGCATTAGAAATTAAAATTAGTATGTTGCTAGAAGATGTAGCAAACAGTGAAGAAAGTAGAGAAATCGACAGTTGGAGAGTCCTAGGGTTAAGATTAATATTCCTACTGACAAAAAATTAAATACCAAAAGAAATACTGCAGAAGGGCTTCATTGTCGGTTCAGCACACTGCCACTACACTGAGGGGAATAGAAAGAGGTACGCGATAACCAAGCAGTGTCCCTAAAGTATTCTTAACAGTCAGCTATGCCTGGACATATGAATTACCATTATCTGGATGTTCTCATCCACTAGAAATTTTCTATAATGTCAGATTCGTCTTTGGGAGAAACTTTATATTACTTTCACAGGGAGACTCAGTGGATTGCTGGAAAGAAGAAACAGCCAAGACATGCTCTGTAGAGTGTGTATTGAGCTAACAATTCTACATGGAGGGATGAGAGAAGATGATGACCTACTCACCACACAGGTTAGCCCTGGTGAGAGGGAATGATCCAAAGTGCTATTTTCAAACAGGGCTTGAAAACTAGCCAATAAGAAAAGAAACATAACTTGGAGGAAAGAGAAAAGGAAGGAGTATCTGACTGAGATACTTATTTTTTAAGAAGGTGCTGCATTCAGCAGAGTACCGCAAACAGGCTTTGAGCTCCAGGGAACTGACATGAGTTGGGGGAAGGAAAATTGACCTTTGAAATGCTAACTACCCATAAGCTTGATAATTAAGCTTCTCAGCCCATTATAGTGATGTTTTGTGCAATCTTAGGCCCCAGTCCTGCAATACACTGCCCAATGGTGTTCATGTATGTTCAGTGGCGCATTTGTGTAGTGAGGTACAGGATCGAGGCCAGGGTTTACATGAGAACAAACATATGTTTTGTTTTTAATGTTTCTTCTCTCTTTCTAAAATAATGAACAGTTTCTTATTTAAATGAAATTATAATTTAGATTTAACTGCTAAATTGGTGGGGGAGCATGGGCTGACTAACCATGCTGGGAGATGACAGGCTCGTCCCTCAAGGAAGAAAGGGTATACAGACTCACACACAAAAGCTATCTAAAACTAGAAAATGAGGTCCAGATGGGGCCACGGTCTCTATCCAATGATGTGTCACAATAGCATTAAGTGAGCTTTCATATTTTGGGGAGCTGGGGCACTGTGATCTCACAATGAAAGCCACTGAAAGATGTGCCATATTGTGTAGGCATCTGTGGGCTTCCTTCCCCAGGCAAGGTACATCAGTGATTACTATACATTTGGATCAAAGGAATTTGAAAGGCTTTTTCCAGTTGAGTTCTTTGGCACCAAGCCACCAAAGTACTTTGCACCTAGGAAAGAGGTCAGGAGGGCCTATATATAATTCATTGCAGAGGGGCAAGCTCTCCCCCCAGAGTCTGAAATTGAAAGGAGAATTCCCAACAGATTCCCAGAATCCAAAGAGGCTTGGAGGCTACTGCCCTCTTTGCAAATTACCAACCCCTTCCATACTGACAAGAGTACTAGAAGGACACTCCATTAGGTTCCCTGGAAGTTCTGTTATTTTCCCCATAGGTTTTTCTGCCAGCGTCTACAATATGGCCACTAATTATTTCTGTACTAGTTGGTGTCATTATGATAAACTTTCAGTATCTTTTCCTACAGTATACATTACCAACTAAACTGAGTGTTTTGTAAGATGCTTACATTATAATATATCTACATAGCTATAAATGTGCAATCAGATGGGTGTGTGAAAAATCATTTTAAATGGAATTCTGTTCAGAAAAAATTAAATGAAATACAGTACCCCAACTCTGGAAATGCAGTAGCAAAGTATTTGGTATTTCTAAAATAGGTCTGAACAACAGGTTCCTGTCCCAAATTCCAAAACTGCTTGCTAAGTGTCTTAGAATTCTGTTTAAGTAAAATAAAGGCTGTTAGTTATCATACATTTTTATGTCAATATAGTTTAAGGTTGTATATGAAAAATCTCAGGGTTAAAATACTCTTTAAATAACATTCTAAAGTACACTTCCAAATAAGGATGCATTATTAAACACATTTACACATTTTATCCACATTAGAATATAGTATATTTGGAACCAAAATTAACTTTCTTCGCAATATATCCTGAAGTATATATAGCAGGAAATTAAAAAAAATAACACACAGAAATCTAATAATAAAAGTTTATCGAAAATAATGAAAATTTTATGTTCTTCTCCAAATTCCAGTACTTGAATTAATAATATAATTTTAATTCTAGTAACTCTGAGGCAAATCAACACATTTATGAAATGAATATTAAAAGATGCCAAAGAGAAGCAATTCAGCATGGCAATTTATAATAAAGTAATAACTCCTAAAGGGCATCCCTTGGTCATGGATGCACACCTCACGTAAGGTATGATGCCAAAGGCTAAATATCATCAATCACCCCACAAAGGCATCAGGAGTGCATACTCTGACAATGTTTACCGCATATACCAATCCTGCAGGCTGATCCATGTGGGAAGAACCTTGTGCTCACATGGATTCCTACTGGGTGCAAGAATCCATCTGCACGTATCAGCTTGTGGGATCAGGGCCAAAATGCACTTCCTTAAATGGTAAAGTCTAGTTCTACTGTTAAATTCAGCTCTATAAAAATGACATAATGGGTTCACTGTTTATTATGTCTTGTTACTGCTGTATCATAATTATTTAGACAAAAAGTAAAAAGAGTTTTTTTCTGAGTGTCAGCCATGCAAATTCACTCTAGAATGTGAAAGTCAAGTTTGGATCTTTCCTTCTCACCTACCACCACCAGTAGCAAAACAGCTGTGGGCTAAATTCTGACCCTAACAGAAGTGTACTGATGGTAGAATTTAGCTCTGTCACTGGAATTTAGCTAACAATTCTGTTTTTAATGCTGAGATGGAAACAAAACCACCTCACTCCCCCATAGTTGTGTCACCTCTGCAGTATTAACTGGAACAAAAAGCACCAAAAACTTATTTTTGTCACTCCCTTAAGTTGAAATGATTATGGATGCACATAGGCAGCATATCTAATGAATAAGACAGTGCCATTTTTAATTAGTAACTTCTCAGAGTAGACCTGCACTTTCAATACAATGTTTTTAAAAGAAAATATAGAGCTATTTTAACATACCGGTGGTGGAGATGTTGCACTGTGATTCAGTTCAGAGGGTTCTGCATTTTCTGGATCGTATATCCATAAGATTAACTCCTAGCAAATAAAAAAGGCAAATGATAATATTTTGTTAATAAACACGTTTATATACTGTCCCTGTGGTCCGATTTCTTTTGGTGACTAGATGTATACTAGAATGTAGTAACAATACCATATAAAGAGGCATTAATTTGGACAATGTCAAAATTAAGTCTTGAGCCTGATCTTACTCAGACAAAAGCAAAACCCCCATTGACTTAAGTGGGCAATGGCGACTGAGGGGATCCAGATCCACTCCTCATAGAAAGGGAATTATTTCCTTCCAGTTCTTCTATTTGTTCCACAGCAGTACTTCACATACCATAGTCTCTCTTATTCTACCTGGCCCATGCTACTTTACAATCCTGCTGTACTATGGCAAAAGAGGGATCAGAAATAGGTACTTAACTCTAAAAAGAAACAACAAATTAGTCTCTTAGCAGGGAGATATTAATATGTATCTTTTTCTCCTGCCTCCATGATTGCTACGGGTCTTCAGCCTGACTGTCCTTGGATTTTGCTCCTCAAAGACACAACCATTTCTGATCAACTATGTGATTCATATCAGTCAGCCACGGAGGAACTCAACCCCTCGTGGGGTCCCAGAGTCCGGACTCCAGCCCAAGCCTGAACATCTACACCACGGTTAAACAGCCCATGAGCCTGAGTCCCACGAGCCTGAGCCAGCTGACATGGGCCAGCTGAGTGTGTATAATTGGAGTGAAGTACCCTTAGGATCTTGGAATCTGCCCCTGAGTAGCGGGGCAGGTTTGGGTAACTGTGTAGCTGTTCTTTCAGAGGCGGCTGAGCACAATACCCCTCATTCCAAGGACATAAATAGGCTTCCACTGCTGTGGAGTCCAACCAGGCTGTGCCTGTTTGGCAGGCTCCACATACAGATGGAACAGTGTCCGGAATTTGGTCCATAATCAATAAAGGTGAATGTTCTTTTAGTTTCCATATTTTCCCAGCCAAACACAATCCCTCTCACAGAAAAAAAAGAAAGAGGGAGGGCATGAGAAATGATTAAATATGTAATTTGTTTATACCAGCTTTGGCAAATTTTGTGAAATAACAACGCATTTTACAGACTGAATGATAGGCCATAACATTTTATGGTATATTGAAATTTTTATCCAAACTCACTAAAAAAAACTCTAGCTTGGGCATGAAACATGCATTTCACAAAGCTCCAGAAAACACAAATATATAGAAGAATAAAGAAAGGGTTGGCTAAAGTCCACTGACCTTTCCTTCTGACTGGACTAAATTTGTATCAAATCACTATTTTGGAGAAGTGAGAAATAACTTCCGAGTTAAAGTTAGTTAAAACATTAGGCAAAAGATAGCATTTAAAAATTAAATGTACCTGGCTATCATTTTTTGAGGATGGAACGGAGCTATAAAAATAAAATAAAATAAAACAGTTACTTTTAAGTATAAGTAACAACCACTGCTTTGTAAAATAAAAGAAAGGTTACTTACCTTACAGTAACTGTAGTTCTTTGAGATGTTCTCTACATTTTGACTCAACTCTTAGCATACATGCACCCCATATGCTGGAGTTCAGAATGTTCTAATCAGCAGTGTCCATTTGGCACTGCACACGTGCCCTGGATGCCCTTGTGCACTCCCCTCCCCAAGCACATAAAGGGCAGAGCATTCCCAACCACCACTCAGTTCCTTCACTGCACAGAATCCCAGTTAAAAACTCAGAGCTACAGAGATGAAGGGTGGATCATGGTGTGACGTTATTGACATGAACTGTGACTGTATAGATCATTGTTGCAACCAGGGTCCTATGGTTCACCAGGTCTTGTACAGAGGAGGTCAAGTGGGGTGTCTATGGAAAAGTTGTAGTTTGCTGGTTATGATTATGCTGTCTGTATGTGTGTATCATTTTTGTATTTGAAGTTATGAATATTGGCTATGTACTTGTATCCCAATGTGTTTGATTCTAAGTAGCCTCAGTGAAGCATTTGGTCAGGTTCTTGAGAAAGGACTATTCTCAGTAAGTGCCCAATCAAGAAACACTTAACTGACAATGGACTTTGGGAGATGCCAATCCACACCTGAGCTTTCCTGAGAATGTTCAAACTAACATGTAAACAATGGCGTCGGCCTGCAAAAAGCTGAATCATTCATGGACACGTGACTTGCCCAGGTGGCTACAAACTCCATCTTGTTGCTGTGACTTTGCACAGAAGAACAAAGGGGTTTCCGCCCACAAGAGAGAGAATATAAAGAGCCCTGGAAGCACTATGGGGCTAAGGATCTCAGAGCCCAAGCTTCAGCCAGAGTAGGAACATCTACACTGCTATTTTTAGCCCCATTGTGTGAGCCCGAGTCAGTTGGTTCAGGCTCTGAGGCATGCTGACACGGGTTTTTTTTTTTTTTTTTTTTTTTTGTCAGTTTAGTCATACTCATAATTACTCTGTCTGTATAGAAGACTGTCTATAGAGGACCAGCAATCAGAGCCTGAATTTCATACAATTTCCATGCATAAGTGATTGTCATTGGGAACACCACAGTGATGGTCAGGTGATTAAGTGAACACGATGGCATGGGTTCAAACAGCCAACCAATCAACTAGGTAAGTACTAAACTCAGATCCCAAGTATGAAAACTTTCTGTATCAGGTGTGAAAATGTGTAATAACCCCTCCAGGAACCTGTGAGCAACAGTGTGTGAAAAGACACAGTAATTTTGGATGGGTTGGTGATAAGCAGATATTGCTGTTAAATGCACTTAAATCGAGCTACCCGATTGTCCTGAATGCTTTAAAGATATAATCCAATATATCAGGAATTGAAGATCCTAATGGGCTAAGCTGTCATTGAGCTGCCCAAGAGAAAAAATGTTTCCATTCTGCACCATATTTATGCCAAGTGGAGGGCTTTCTGTTTTGTAAAAGCAAATCTCAGACCTGTGCAGAGCAACTTCTGTCTACTGATGTTAGCCATGCAACAGCCATGCTGTCAGATGTGGAGGAAACAGGTCTGCATGAAGGACTAGACCATGATTTTGTGAGACTATATCTGGCAGAGATAGAAATGTTATCCACGGTTAGTTCAGGAGAGGTAGAAGTGCTGAATAACAAAATTGGTGTGGCTATGTTGGAGCTATTAAAATCAGACATGTCTTGTCTTGCCTCACTTTTCAAAGGATCCTTGGACTAAACGGAAGTAGTGAGAAGGCATACACTCATGGAAAAGTGTTGGATCTAGACCTCAGACTCATTGCCGCTTGAGAGCAAAAGCTGCGAGACTTCCTGTTTTCCCTGGTCACAAACAGATCTACCCATAAGACTACTCATTTTTGAAAGAACTGATGCCAAATGAAGTCTTTTAGGGACCACTCAGACATTAGCATCACTCTTTTGGTCAGATGATCTGCCAAATAGTTATTTGCATCCGAAGAAGTGGGCTGTAGTCCACGAAAGCTTATGCTCTAATAAATTTGTTAGTCTCTAAGGTGCCACAAGTACTCCTGTTCTTCTTTTTGCGGATACAGACTAACACGGCTGCTACTCTGAAACCTGCCAAATAGTTGTTATCCCCTGGAATACATAAAGGCTGACTTGATACTGAATACACCATTCCCGTAGAAATAAATCATCATCTAGTAAATAAGAAAAGCATAGTTCACCATTTTCTAACATAATAAAAACTAAAAGTTAAGAATCTGAATAAATGTAAGTTAAGATACACAATTGCTTAAATAAATGTGTACAAATATAGTATCTTCCTGTGACACTTTCTCAATATGTGCAGGACTGTGGGTGATTTTGTTACCCCCTAGCTCCAGAAGGAGAGTCTATCTTGTGGTAGCTGGGTGTCAGCTCCAGTACAACATCAACCTTTCAACCACACAAGCACTCTCCTCAGGACTCTGCCAGTTCAATCCTTGCCTTGCAGGTTAACATTAGGTGGACCTCAATTTTTTCAGCCTCCTTGAAAAGCATTCCTCTCTCGTATCCTGCCTGTCACTGGATACCACAGAAATTACCAAGTCCGCTGTCTCCAAAGAGACAGTATGCACACCATCCTGTTAGCTCAGCTGAGGACAAACACTTTATTTTAGTATTACAGCACTGAGATCAATTTATAGCAAAACCAAGAATAAGTTTTATTAATAAATAACAAAGATTTAAGTGATACTAAGCAAAAATAATAGAAACAGAAATGGTTACAAATAAAACAAAAGTATAATACACTTATAAGAGACTACATATGACCTTATCAGGCTCCAGTCTTTGTCTAAAGCACTTTTGCTCACCCATAGCCACTTCTCAGTGTCACTAACTCACGTGACTGGGGATTCACCATTTATGCACTTTGTTCCCTCACTGACGGATAACTAAAATGTCTTTTTGCTTCTTCTTTTACATCCTGAAATTTATCATCTTTGTCACCAGAGTCAGGATGAAGCCCTGGGGTTCAGAATCCAGTGACTTCCCATGCTCATTTCACATCCACATGTTAATTTGTTCCTCCTCCTTACCTGTGATGCAAATAAACTGTCAATTGTCTCTGGCATCATCATGCTCAATTTACATTACAGAGAGGAAGATAATTATTTTCCTTCCCGTCTGGAAGAAAACCTGTTCCCCCCTTTGTTTGGGTACAGACGTTAAAGCATACTATCTGTAAGTATCCATAATTCCTCTGTTAATACATACATTTCACAATGCCATTAATGACCAGTTTGTGACCCGCTTTCATTTGATATCTCACACCACATTTTTTATACGTAAATATAATGACAGCAATATGTTAGGCATAGTAAATTTGTCAGGCTTGATAGGAACTGCTGTTACATGACAGTGAACCCGTTGCTAGTGGGCATTTAGGGGCTGTTAGGGTCACACCTCCTGGTTAGAAAATAGAAGTACCAAATTTAGTGTAAAAGTTATTATTTATTATTATTAGTTATTACATTCTTCTCACGCCAGTACTGGTGCACAGGGCTGAAACTAGTCTCTTCCATCCTTCTCTCATGTACTGCTGCCTCCATCTGTTCAATGTTGTTGAGAATGACTGTTCTGCCCTCCCTGCTAAGGGTTCTTCTTAAAGTTTCTCTTGGGGGCCCATGTTTCCTCACACCAGTTGGTTTCTACTTGACAGCTTCATGTGGGAGTCTGTGTGTCGGCATCCAGAGTACATGTCCCAAATATGTCCAACACTTCTTTCTAATTCTAGTGGAGATTAAGTTATATTTAGTTGCAAATCAACTTTTAGCCAATGAGAATCAACCTTTCTTTAGGAAAATAACTAAAAAGTACAAATGCAAAAAAAGATTAAAATTGATTATTTAAATCAAAGTTTCCTGCTTACTGATTTAAATATTATTAAAATAGGTGATTTAAGTCACTTTGATTTAAATCAATCCAACTTGTGTGGCAGTCATAACCAAAGTACCTGGGGTAGGAGGAGTATAAAAATACTAATACCTTTTGGATGGGACTTGATATCTGTGGTCCTCTCTCTTAAATATTGCAGAGAGTGACACGTATAGCCCACAGATTTTTGGTCAAGTCCAAAATACCTTCATTTATTGACATTGCAACACAACCCTGAGTTACTGGCTGAAGAATATTAAAAAAAAAGTATAAGATTTCCCTCAATCACCTCAAGAGGAATCTCAAGCATCTCTGTCATCCTCTTCAAAAGGTCTCAGAATACTCTAAAGTCATCCTCTGTTATCTGGTCCCCTCTTCTGGTTTGGTGCTCCTCTTCCTCTGTTAAAATGTCTTACTTGCAAGGCAAGTGTGGAGCTCTGTGAGTCTGTGCAGATGGTGACTTGTCCCTTGATCTTGCATGAGGAACTTCCAAAGGGGGTGGATACTGAAATTGTGGGGTCCAGGAAGGCCAGAACAACTACAACTGGAAATCACAAAGGTATGGCATTTAATGTCAAGGAAGTGGCATCCACGGCACATGAGAAGCATCTGTAGCATGTCCTGTATATTGGTCAGATTAAGAACTTCTCTTGTGGTGATCTCGAACTCTTGAATAGTTAGAAGAGTATGGCAGTAACCTTAGAAAAGTACTCTTGCTAGAGGCAACAGATGAAGAGCAGACTTGTTCAACCGGAGGTGCAGTTCCCCTCAGAATCACTGGAATCTGAGGAGGGCTGACAGGCTTCCCCTGAGATGAAGACAGATGGAGGGATATTTTCATAACCAATGCCATAGGCTCCAGTATCAGGGAAGATCTTGAAATATCTGAGAAGGCAGATACATTCAAGGGTGACTCTGGTTCCGAGGTGATTCTAAGTTCTGACAAATTAGTGAATGCTGTAGAAGTTGACAGTACTGGGATCATAAATCGGTACCAGTGCAATGGTCAGTGCCATCATAGATCTCTCCCTAGTCAGTACTATAGTAGATATTAAGGAT